AGAGAGAGAGAGAGAGAGAGAGAGAGAGAGAGAGAGAGAGAGAGAGAGAGAGAGAGAGAGAGAGAGAGAGAGAGAGAGATATTGGTGGATGGATGGATAGATGGATGGACGGATAGATGGATGGAGAGACAGACAGGTAGAAAGACGGGTGTATCATCAAGGACATTGAAGAGAATGGGAAAATAAAATGGGAAAGAACTTCACTTTGACCTCAGCTAAGAGGTGATCCAGTAGTTTTCCCTGGCATCACAGAGAGTTATTTTACAAAGAGCCACCCCCATCCCCAATTTAAGTCTTTTCCTTAAAGGAAATGAAGATGGGAAAATGTGACAGAGACCAGGTACCAGGAAATGGAAACCATTGATATTTAAGAAAAACAGGAAAGGAAAAAATTAATCACCAGGCTTACGTATATATCAGGAATTACCTTTGAAATCTATTGATGGGAGGTTTAAAGAAAATGTATGGTTGAAATATAGTGCTAGTTGTAGATATGATTGCACCAATCAGGAAGTCTCCTGGCTTGTAAAAATTAAATATGTGTCCTTCCTCTTTCTGCACACTCAATGGGCATTTGGTCATCATTGTGCCGCAGGGAAAATGGGACACCAGGAGAAGCAGCAGCAGATTTTCACAGGTCATGATGGAGATCTTCTATTGTCTTTGGTCTCAGAGCTGTTTAAGGACAATTCTCTTGCCAAAGAGTCCAGACTGACTGACTTTATAAAGATAAAGATAAAATAAAGTCTGGCACATTACAGTAAAATGAGCAAGATTACATTCAGACTTGCACAGTCCTACCTACAGGCATCTTACCATATGATCTCCATAGTCCTTGAGATCCTTGTGGACCAAATTTTTAGATTTTTTTAAAAAGTGTTAATAAGTATTTGTCAAATTTGTTGTTGAAGGGTAGGTGTGTATGAGGGATTTACTGGTGTTCCCAAGAGGAAAAAAACTCTGTATGTCTCATGGGCATAGTTCTAATTTAAAACCTATCAAAATAATACAATTCAGGTAAGTTATTATCCCCTTTACTCAAGAAACCTATTCTTAACAGAGTAACAGAATCTGAGAGACATATCTTTGAAAGAAATACAGAAATAAATTGAGTAGACTTTTAGCAGGCCAAAAATTCTTTATTGATAGAAAAGAGTATCAGAGTTTCCTGCTGGAAATGAGTTGGTCCTCTTTCTTCCCTTATGGAATAGGCAATTCTTTCAGATTTTCTGTTTAATTCAAAACACCATGAACTGGGATTAGCACATAATATTTTTACATTAACAGTAAGAAGAGTCTGGATTATCTGCAGACAAGAGGGAAAGGGAATGAAAAAACTATTTTATGAGCAAATTATTAAGTCAAAGGTTATTGTTCAACAATAATATGAAATGAAAAATAACACATCACACAACACAACCCTCAACATTATTGGCAACAGGTTTTCCTCCCATCTAAAACTTATATTGAACAAGCCTCCTTGATAATACCCTCTCTAAATCAGTTTCAGAAATTATGGCATGTTGGTTTTAGTGATATGGCCTGATATGGCTGCTGTTCTACTGGTGTGAGCCTTTGAAAGTGAGTAAAAGGATGAAAAGAAGTTAAATTTTGGACTTTTAGAGCAGGTATGCTTTGATGAGAGCTGATGAACTGACTTTATTGCTAGCCAGGGCTGGCTGAGGAGTTTTTAGAGGCAGCAGTCCCATTGATCCAACCTTTTATAAACATATTAAGATTTAGAGCCCTGGGAGACACTCAGATCCTAAGATGGCGACCTAACCTAAAAATTGGAGAGGGGAGGAGAGGAGAGAATATATCTGTGAATATGTACAGAGTGAATGGAATGGCTGGAGAGAAGTTCGATATAAAACATAAGTGTGCTCCCAAAATGGGAAACTTACTACCAAGCAGCGGGATTACTTTGGATTAGGGATTGGATAAATTTAGAAAATAAAAGGGTTTTAACAATTGAAGGACATGATTTACAGGCTGGTTGGCATGACTTTCTATGGGGAAAATATAAGAAGTCACACACATATTTTTACCGGCACCAAATAAGAGATGCACTGATTTGGACGTGGGAAAAGGTTAAAAAGAAATATTATATGAAAATACCAAATTGGGCCTCACCGATGGAGGCAATGATCCACCCAAATACACTGGACAAAAAAAAGATGACAAGATACAAAGAACTATTAGATAATCAAGGAAAGCTCAGATCAAGGGAGGAATTAGAATAACAGGGAATAATTATTGATTGGTGGCCATACTTACAGATACAATCAAAATATAGCAAAGATATGGAAGAATATGGAATAAGTCGGGTACCACAGCAATTGGTCAAAAAATTGACAGGTAAGGAAGGAAAATTTTTAACAAAAACCTACAAACATTTATTAGAACTAGAATTAGAAGAAGAAATAGTAAAAGGTTCAATGATAGCATGGGCAAGGAATATAGGTAGAAATATAGAATTAGAAGAATGGGAAAGAGTATGGAACATAAATTGCAAACTAACACTGTCAACTGCATATAAAGAAAACCAATATAAAATGTTCTATAGATGGCATTTAACACCGGCAAGATTGGCCAAGATATATAAAAATATGAATCCAGACTGTTGGAAATGCAAAAACAAAGAGGGAACATTCTATCACATGTGGTGGCAATGCCCCAAAGCAAAGATTTATTGGGAGCAGATAAGGAGATGGATACAGGAAATAACAAAAGAACAAATCGAACTTAAACCCAAATTATTCTTATTAGGTATAATTAACCCAAAGATGAAAAAACAACTTCAACACATCATTGTACATATAATAACAGCAGCACGCATTGCATATGTGCAATGCTGGAAAGGGGAAAAATACCAACAAATGATAGGATTATTTGCAAGATATTAGAATGCACTGAGATATACAAACTTACTCTGGAAATCAAAGACAAAGAAGCTACAGAATTGTATGAGATATGGGACAAGTGTTACAACTGGTTAGAATTGAGGAATAAAAAAGTATGAGAAGTGATGTAAATAATTGTAAATAAATGTAAGAGATATAGGACACAGTACTGTTAAGGAAAAATGTATTTTGTATTTTGTTTTTGTAAAGTGAAAAAGGAAAAATAAAATTTAAATAAAAATAAAACATAAGTGTGCAGACTATTTGTTGGTTCCTGGTTCGGAAGGGAGAAATGTTACCACTTTAGTTATATTTATTAGTCATAGCTTAAATCACACAAGACACAGAGAAAGAGCTCTTAGAACAATTAAAAAAAATAAAGCACTGAAATCAGAAGCCATCATGGTTTCTCATCATTAGATGCATTTTTCTGTTCATGTGAGGTCTCAAAATGATGATGTAGCATTTAGGCACAAAGATGCAGCACAATAAGCCCAGGCTGGAAGCTAGAATAGAGAAGATCTGCACAGCCACCATGTATTTCTCTTTGGTGCTTAGGTAGGTAGGGACAAAGGAGACCCAAACGCTGCAGAACACCAGCATGCTAAAGGTGATCCACTTTGCTTCATTGAAATTCCCAGGTAGTTTGCGGGATATAAAAGCCACCAAGAAGCAGATGGCAGCCAGAAAGCCCAGGTACCCAAGGGCAGAGTAGAACATGGTGACTGAACCTTCGTTACATTGCAGGAAGATCTGTCCTGATTGGGAATGCAGATCAAAATCTGGGAAGGGGGGAGAGATTCCCAGCCACATCATGCAGATGCCCACCTGAACCCCAGAACCAGATAAGACAATGGAGTTGGACAGACTTTTCCCCAACCATTTCCTCATCCTGCTGCTTGGCTTTGTAGCCAGAAATGCCATCACCACCATGATAGTCTTAGCCAACAAGGAAGAAATGGCAACTGAGAAAACAACACTGAAGGTGACTTGTCGAAGAAGACAGGTCACTTTATTCGGGTGACCAATGAATAGAAGGGAAGTCAAGAAGGAAAGCATGAGAGAGACCAGGAGAATGTAAGTGAGATCCCGGTTATTGGCTTTCACAATGGGAGTTTCTCGGTATTTAATGAAGATGATCAGAACCAAGGCAGTGATTAGAGACAAAAAAGAGGCAGTGAGTGCCAAAATGATTCCCAAGCTTTCTTGGTAGGACAGGAAACTTAATGTTTTGGGGACACATTGATCTTGCTTCTTATTGGGATGCTGGTCATCCAGACACTTTTCACAGTGGGCTGCCTCTGAAAAACACAAAACAAAATTCCTATAAAACTGTGTTTGCCACACTGTCTACTGATTTCCTAAACTATTTGGTGTTTTTCCTCGAATAAAAATTGCTTCACTAATCACTGGTAATTCTCAGTCTCAGTAATGGTCATACACAGCCCCAACACAGCCCCTGGATTCTGGGGCTTGGAAGATAAGCAAGATCAGGCCTTGGATGGACTTGTATAGGGCTCCTTTCTTGCTTCTGAGCTTTCTTCCTTCCTTCCTCCTCCCTCCCTCCCTCCCTCCCTCCCTTCCTTATTTAAAAATAATATATTGATCATATTTAATAACATATTTTGTGACACATAAACTGCTAATTTGTAGCAGTTTGTGTCTGTCAATTGTCCAGTTGGTATTTCCAGAAAAAGAAACTCCTGGGATATGATTTTACCAAGAGTATAATATTTTATTGAAAATCTACATTGGCACAGAAGAAGCAAAACCAGCTCTGATTTCTCACACAAAACAAAAGCATAGTTATTTTCCCATTTCCCTTTGATCCACCCACAGCCCGATATGTTCACCAATCATTTATGTTCATTTTGTTATGAGAAAATAGCCACACTCGGTGTCCTTGCAAACTTACAAAGACGCCTTGGTTGCCTAGATACCATCCCTCACATCTTTACATTCCATTCCACAATCTCTTTCCTTTTTGTCAAGCTATGAGTAAGGGGTAAAATGTAGGTGAAAGGGTGAATCAGTGTTGACAGTGTCCTTCAGCACATGCAGCCTTTGACAGACTTGATAGAACTTGGGAGCTAAGCAGAATCTGACTTGGTATGGGCCTTCTTGCTATTGCACCACCTACCTTCCTGGGTAGAGATTGTTCCTTCCATACATGGAGAACAGTCATAGCAGCAGACTGGTGCTCCCTCTCGCTTAAGTTTCTTGTATCCTGGGAGACAACTAGAAGTGCATCTAGAAAACGGCACTTTCTAAACAAGAAAATCCAGGGTAACCTATTTTAAGAGGATTATTTCTGTACATGGAAATTAGTTACAGACTAGGTTCAGAAATAGGATCAAACCATTTTTTAACATTAATTTGTGTAATATGATTCACAAATTGTGCAAATTCACAACCATTGCCTGCTTTCATAAAATATTTTGAGTGGAAAGTAACCAAATCTCAGGATGGCTTTGTGAGATGGATGAAGCCAGCCACTGAGATAAATTATGTTTCTGGGAGTCTTGTCTCCATTTTAACAAGAGGATATAATATGACCACAAGAGGTTGCCCTCCAGATGCTTGTGGTCATTAAGAATGTTTGAAGATCTTTCAAGGACTTTCAGGTTTTTAACTGAAGATGCTAAAGCAGAGGTCTTCAACCTTTTTGATTTGGCGGCTCGGAAAGGGAGGCAGGCACCACTATGTGCATGTGTGCAAATGGACCGCATGCGTGCACATACAAAAATGAACCCCATACATGCAGACACAAATGGGGCATGCATGAGTGCATGCACACATGCAAATGGCCATGCACAAGCACATGCACACATGCAAACAGGGCTGTGCAAGCATGAGTGCTGCAAATGGCATGGCTAGTACTAGCAGTGGGATTCAAATATGTGAACAACCAGTTCTCTGTGTGGATGCCGCTTCCAGAAGTCCGTTCTGGGCCTGGGTGACCAAACATTAGCTACCAGTTCTGCCGAAGTGGTGTGAACTGGCTGAGTCCCACCACAAGGCGGCACTAGTGCCAGTGGGACACTTTGGGGTGGGGCAGCGCTAGCGCTGGTGGGATGCTCAGGGTGGTGCTAGTGCTAGTGGGATGCTCGGGGCAGCTCTAGCAGTGGTGGGGCGCTCGGGGTCAGGGCGGTGCTAGCACTGGCAGGATGTTCGGGACAGCACTAGTGCCAGTGGGACGCTCGGGGCGGAGTGGCACTAGCGCCGCCAGGATGCTCCGGGCAATGCTAGTGCAGGTGTGGGGGAGGGGTGAGTAAACATGTTTTAGGAAGTCACTTTCAGTCTTATTCCCTTTTTCAGAATAATCTCTAATAGTGCATTTTTAGTAGGATTTGATTCCAGAATCCACTTGATATTCATGAGGAGATGATGGCTCCTCAGGCCAGGTCTTTTTAGTTTTGTTCCTCCTATTCTAAAAAGAGGTTTGACCTTCAAATCTCAAGTGCTTCAGCTTGAATGACCAATGGTAAGAAACTATCAGAACTGAAGTCCAGAGCAAAGGAAGTAGATGGTTGCTTACTTCTATCTTAGTAATTTTGTAGGACAGCATGGAACATAACCTGTCCCTGATCCCTCTGTTTCTTCCAACATGAACCTCTATTTCAGGGGTGTCAAACTCACATCATGTGACGTGTCACGATGTATCATAACTTTTTTCCATTGCCGGCAATGGGGTGGGTGCGGTTTTGCCACAATGCATCCGGCCCGTGGGCCAGCAGTTTGACACCCCTGCTCTATTTCCTACTAGTAAAACCTCCAATTAGGCTCTAATTCTGAAAGGGCTGGAGTTACTTGCCACAAAATTACTTTGTCCTCCTTTGAAGTTTGCTGCTGGCTCACAAGCAGCCTTAAGATAACTAACACGAATGAACCATAAAACTGTTGACATTCCCACACACACAATACATTTCTGAGAGGTCTAGGAGAACTTGGAGAGTCTTCTACAAAATGCCTTTTTCCCTTCAGTGGCAGATCTGGTGAAGTCCAATTCTGGAGATAGATATGACAGTAATTTAATTATAAAAGCCACAAGTAGCAGCTACCTGTTTAAATGATGTTGGCCATATGATGGCACTCTCATTGATGGAGAACTTGATTTCTGAAGAAGCCACATTTTCTATCTTTCCAATTTTCATTGCGCTAGGAGACCCATTCTGAAGTATTGCCCAGTGTATGATATAAAAGTCAGCAACGGGAATTCCATTCTCATCCATATAAACGTATTTTCCTGAAATATTATGAAGCTGGAAGTCTCTCAGAAAATGATGAAACTAGAAAAACACAAAGAATTACTCCTTTACATCCTGGCCTTCTTTCTTTTAAGAAAATGTATAACTTTTTATTGAATTTGAAAATGGAAAATGAACAAGTAAAAGAAACAATGATAATATGGGCAAAGAATTTTGTATACAATATAGACTTAGAGAAATGGCAAAACGTGGTTTTGGGAAAGAAATTATAAATTGACAATGTCAACCTCTTAAAAAGAAAACTTATATAAAATGTTTTATAGATGGCACTTGCCACCAGCAAGACTAGCAAAAATGTTTAAAAATGTGTCAGATAGATGTTGGAAATGTAATCATAAGTCAGGTATATATTATCATGTATGGTGGACATGTGTTAAAGCAAAGAGATACTGGACAAAAATACATACTTGGCTAGAAAAGATGTTGGGCAAACATGAACTTTTTTTATTATGTATAATGCCAGAAAAGCTTGACAAATGAAGTATATACTTGATTTTACATGTGATAACAGTGGCAAGAATCATATTCGCACAATATTGGAAAAATGAAGAAACACCACCAGAGGAAGAAATAATTAAAAAAACACTAGATTGTGCGGAAATGGACAGACTTACTCTGAGGTTGAAAGAAAAAAAAGAAACAGAATATTTTCAAATTTGGGACTTATTTTATCAATGGCTGGAGAAAAAAATAAGGGATTAGGAATTCAATTTGTATTAGTGAATGATATACTCAGACAACACGTTTGTTGAATAAGTACTTGTGAATTGTATTTTTTAAAAATCAATAAAAACTTTTAAAAACAACAGTAGAAATTGGGGAAAGGAGGTTAGAAATGCTCCATTCTGCATCGTGTCCCTGGTATTTCAAAAGATAATAGAACAAACAACACAATTGAAAAAAGGTGATTGTTGGAACTTCAAAGGAGAAGTCTTACCTGCCATGGCTGTAATCTATGGAATAAAAGATGGCTTCCAAGCCTCATTCTCCTCCTATTCAGTTGCAAAGAATAGGCAGAAGTTAGGGCTCGGGATAAAGCCTGGAGAGCATTGTAAATACCGAAGGCATCTTCAGAGAGGATTCTGAACATCGTTTCACGATGTGCAAATTTCCACCTCTCCTTTTCTGTGTATCTTATCCAAACCTTTTTAGATAATATAGGTCTTGAATAGAAGGGCAAAAATGTTGTCTTCACAAGCTTATCAATATTAAGTGTATCCACCTTAAAATGACGATATGGTGCACTTTTTCGGGCCTCAGTTGAAAAGGATAACAAAAGATGTTTATGATAGAGATTAACATGTTGATAAAATAATCTGATCCCTATGTCTGTCAAAGCAGTGACAATCCACACTTTTTCCCCAAATCCTTTTGGATGATATTCAAATTTTGGAATGACTGATGCTAGGAATAGTGAGGCTTGTAAGTCCAAATGACATACAAAAACTTTTACTTCACTGTGAGCATAATGAAGAAATTTCCCAATTTTTCTCTCTTTATCTTGCAAGGGGATGTTTTGTGAGAAAGCAACGCAAATCCCCTTTTTTATAGCTGCAAGCGCAAAAGAATTTCTAAACTTTTCCCCATCTTCATTGTCTGGAGCAAAGAGGCCGATCCATGTCCACTGGAAATGCAGAAGCAATTTGACAGTTGCCAAGTGAGGAGGCTCTTGCTTTGGGATCATCCGATAGGAGAAAGGAAACTGATGTTTCTGCTCAGGAATCTGGTTGATAATCCCATAGTTGATCTAGGATGAAATGGAGAAAATGGGTGATTGTCTTCTTCTTAGAGACAAATAGGAGTGCAAAAATCTAAAGGCCTTTCCCCTTTGGAGGGAAATTCTTTTTCTCTGCCCTTGAGTTTCAAGCATGAATTGGGCTCTCTCTGTCTTGTATGACTTTTCTGTGTTGACAGTCAGACCTGATTTCCCTCCAAGGGAAAGGAGAAATATTTGATTTTTAACCCGTGGACAACCATGACCTGGATGACTGAGAATCTCCATAGACATTTGATTTTTAACACACCTTGAGTTTACCCTTGTCTATATGGGAACAACAGGCCACATAATAGAACAACTTCTGTTCAATCAGGTGTGTTTTGTTTCTGGATTCTGCCAAGACAAAAACATTGGAACTCCCCCTTTCCCCAAAAATTGTCACCTGGCATGTTTGAACCATCTTTATTTGCAAATGGGGAAATAATTTCTTAAAGAGCCAGTTTGGTCTAGTGGTGAAGGCTAGAAAACATGGAACTGTGAGTTCTTATCCATCCTTAGGGTTGAAAGCCAGCTGGGTGACTTTGGGTCAGTCACTTTGGGCCAGTTAGCCCAACCCACCTTAGCATTGGTTTGTTTGGGAAAATGGGAAGATGAATGAGTATTAGATATGTTCGCCATCTTGAGTTATCTATACATACGCAGATTTTTAAAACATCTAAAATAAAATTAAAAGTAGCATTTTCCCCACTTTTCCTCCATTGCACTCCTGGAGGCTTCCTTTGGATGTAGATGAATTAAGGGGGATAATAATTTTTGCCATCCTTTGTCTTGGAGGAAACTCAGGTGACTGCAATGACTTGAAGATAAAGAAAAGAGGCAGTGGGGGCAGTTTCATAAAGAGGAAGAATTGTCAACAAGAATGCAAATCTCATTTCAAGGCATGGTTGAGAGATCCTCAGCTCAGACATGAATAAAAGCATCTAATCTGAATGGAAATCAGTGGCAAAAAAAGGGGGAAACTATGAAACAAGTCTAATTTAAAAAAAATGATATGCACAGATGCCAGATTAAAAAAAGAAGTATTTAGATATATAATAGAAATATACTATTTCAGGGTGCTTTTCAATTCTGCCATCTGGCTTCATTTGTATGTTGTTGTGCACCATATAAGGTAGTCCTTGATTTATGACCATTCGTTTAATGACTGTTCTAAGTTACAGTGGTGTTGGGAAAAAAAGACTTATGACTAATCCTCACACTTAAAATTATTGTAATGTCCCTATGGTCAATGATCGAAATTCAGGCAAATACAACTGGCTTGTATTTACATTAGTTACACAATCCTGGGGTCACATGTTCACAGTTTATGACCTTCCCAAGAGGCTTCCAATGAGCACATTCAATGGGGAAAGTGGATTCACTTAATGAGAATGTGATTCACTTAACCACCATGGTGATTCACTTAACAATTGTGGCAATTGTCTTCCTTATCTGTTCATACCTGAGGAATTTTGTAGATGTCCAACATGGTTGAAATACAGGTAAAAAGCTCAGAATCAGTGCCTTCGACCACAGCCAACAGTTTTTTAGGTCTTCCACATCTGTAGTTTGGGACATTTTCCTGCCCTGTGGAAAGTGAATCTATCATGGCTTCATAAGTCATTCTAGCACTGAAGAAGTTCTCATAGATGCTGTAGCCCAAAGTGATGTTGGGCAAAATCCTTGGACTTTTGTTGATCAGATGAATGGCAAAGATGAAGGGTAGGATGTGCCAGAAACTCCGAAGATGACTGCAAGTTAAGAGATATTAACAGGTCTAGGAAGAAAACATATTAGATTTTTGATGCAACTTTCAGCACTCAGTGGGTTTTTTTTATGTTTAATGTTAGTTGTGAGGGTCCTTGGTGCTCTCTGAGCTTGCAGATATTTCATTACCCAAATTAGATAACATCATCAGTGCTAGTAAATTAGAAAAACTCAGATATGTTGCAACAAATGTTCCTAACCGAAAACAAAAATCTTCAGGAATCACAATTGACAATAATTAAGGCAATGATATTAATACAGATATGAAAGATATGAGATCTCAACCAAAATAGTGATTACGGTTATTGAAAATAATATTGAAAACAAGACGGGACCATATAATATTGTTGAGACAAAAGAAATTAGGCCAGGATTTTACAGCAACAGGAAAAACAAAGTAAAGTAGAATAAATAGCAATTTATTTAATATCATTTTCTTGGGAAGTACTCAAATCCTCAAAATAGGAAGAATTTTAATCCTGAAATTAAGAAAATAATTTAACTCTGGCATCCATTTGTGCTTCAGCTACAGATGGAACAATTCATGAATGTTTTTAATAGGAATTGCTAGGGAGGAAGTAATCATTGAAGGGTACATGCAACCAAGCTAAGGCAAATCATCTAATGGATAAAAAAGGAGGACAGCTCCCAAGAAAAGTTTTTCAGTATATGAGTATATAATTTTTGTCTGATCTTTGTAGAGAAAAAGAATCCAAAACCTAGTACTACATTTTGTTTCCAGCAAAACACCAATCATACTCAAGAATAGATACAGTATGTGCTATTCCTTTAAAGCCCTTACACTATCTACAAAAGAACTGTAGATTAGCTCAATATTATATAGACACCATGTCCCAATTTTAACATCTTGGCGTCAGAGACAAATATTGTCTTACCAATGGTGGATGAATGAAACACTGTCCTTCAAGAAAGAATATTGCAGAAATGCAAAGAAGAAGGAATTTGTTAACAAAACGACTCCAGGGTTATAAGAGACAACAGTACAGGAGATTTATTGCATTACCTAATTCCTTTTTCCTCTTTGTTATATTTGCTTTATTTTCTCTTCTAATTCTGATTAGAATTAGAATAGTCACAACACTCCAGAAGACAAGTTCAGAATCAAAAAGGATCTTGACAGACTTGAACAATGGATCCTATCCAACAACATGAAATTTAATGTGGAGAAAAGCAAGTTTTATACTTAGGCAAGAAAAACCAAAGGAACAAGTACAGATTAGGTGAAATCTGGCTCAAAAACAGTAACTGTGAAAGGGACCTTGGAGTCCCAGTGGATGATCATTTAAATATGAGGCAGCAAGGTGTGGCTGCAGCCAAAAACACTAACACAATCCTTGGTTGCATAAACAGAGGCACAGAATCAAAAATCACATGAAGCATTAGTATAAAACCTTAGTAAGACCACACCTGGAATACTGGAATACTGCATCCAGTTTTGGTCACCACATTACAAAAAAGATATTGGGAGTTTGGAAAAAGTGCAGAGAAGAGCAACTAAGATGATTAAGGGCCAGGGGACAAAAACATGTGAAGAACAGTTGTAGGAATTGGGTAAATCTAGTCTACAGAAATGAAGGACTATGGGGGACATGATAGCAGTATTGCAGTATTTGAGGGGGTTATTTTCCAAAGCATCAGAAGGCAAGACAAGAAACAATGGATGGAAAATAATCAAGGAGAAAAGCAACCTGGAATTAAGGGAAAACTTTCTAACAGTGAGAACAATTAACCAGTAGAATAGCTTGCCTACAGAAGTTGTGGGTACTTCATCATTGCAGATCTTTAAAAGGAGACTAGACAGCCTGTCATGGTTCCGATAGATGAAACCAGTTAAAAGAACTTCAAGGCAAGAAATTCGTCCTTAAATGTCCTTAAAGAACATTTTATTCGGAAACAAAATATCGGCACTTAAATAGTTGAACCCAAAACTGAAAGTTCCCTCTCCTGATACAAAGTTACAAGTTGCAATTCCCACCCCAAGCCAAGCTGTCACACATCACATTCTCCAATTACCAAAAACCAAAAATTCTTCCCTCATATCGAGCTTGATTATAACCACAGCTGCAATTGTTATGACTAACTAAGAATGCTCATACCTCTCCCTCCCCCCTTAGTTTGTCTACGTGAAAATCCCCAACTATAGAGTGGAAAGTTACAATGAAAAACAAAAGTAAAATGGTTACAATTTATTTTGTTGTCACAACACTGACATTCGGCCCCTCTTAACATAAAGGAGATATCCTGTAATACAAACAAAGACATAAATCAAGGGGAAAAAAACCCCTGGATTTATTTGGATGTTTATCATAAAATCTATGTACTTTCACATCAGTACATTTCACCCAAATAGCTTCTGATAACGGATAAGCCTTCCATTGTACCAAATACTGCAGTTTTCCATTGTACAGTCTAGCATCTAAAATCCACTTCACTTCGTAGTGGGTCTGCCCTGCTACCACCAGGGGCCTCAGGGCTTTCTTTGGATGGGGTCTCAAAGTCGACTCTCTATAAGGCTTCAGTAAACTACAGTGAAAAACAGGATGAATCTTTCCCAAGAGTCGAGGGAGCTTTAACCTTACAGTCACTGGATTCAAAACGCTTACGATGGGAAAAGGTCCCAAGACACAGCCACTTGTCTGAAATGGTATAGGTCAGGCATGTCAAACTGCCGGCCCATGGGCCAGATGCGTCATGCTGAAACCACGCCCACCACATTGCCGGCAATGGGGGAAAAGTCATGATACGTCACATAACATCACGTGACGTCGCAAGTTTGACATGCCTGGTATAGGTTCTTCTGCTTGAGCAGGCAGTTGGACTAGAAGACCTCCAAGATTCCTTCCAGCTCTGTTCTTATTGATTGATTGATTCCCATCCATTACATTCCTTTTTCTGATATGCTGCACTTACTGAAACCTCATATAAATTGCAGCACATTAGAAAAAAGAACACACTACATATAAATCACAATTAGAAGAGAAAATAAATTTAGAAAAGATTCGTAAAACCAACCCACAACAGCAAACATGGAAAAGAGTGAAATAAAGTAAAAGAAAAATTAGATTTAGTGAAAATGGCAGAATTTTAAAATAAAATGAAATATGGAAATCATTTTTAAAATGCAAATCAACCAGGGAAATTTTTGGCATATCATATTCGAAAGAAAAGTGATAACATCGATAAAGAGTGAAGAAAAAAGAGTGATAACAATGATAGGGGAAGAAAACAATCCATTATACAGACGATCGGAAATAACAAATGAAGTTGAAAAAAATGTAAGATATTATATCCCAGAGAAAATATTCACAGGGGATATTTGGGAACCTCTGCTTAAAATTCAGAGCCATTGAACAATATAGAGAAACCTTAAGCAAATGAATAACAACTCAAGAGATTAAAGAAGCAAATGAAAATTTCAATGAAAATTAAAATTAGTAAAGTGCCACACCTTGATGAAATGATAAAAAGCTAGAAGAACACCAATACAACCACACTTGAAAATGGTGGGTAAAATTCAAATAAGGAAATCTATACTAGAGAATTGAAAAGAACCATATATAAATTAATACATTAAAAAGTAAATGATCCAAAGAAACTCCAATCATATAGACCAGGCATGTCAAACTGCTGGCCCGTGGGCCAGATGCATCATGCTGAAACCACGCCCCCCCCATTGCCAGCAATGGGGGAAAAGTCGCAAAACATCGTGAGTTTGACATGCCAGATTAATGTCTTTACTAAATATATTAGCTGAACATACTAAATATATTAATTGAACAAATGTATTAGCTGTACGAAATTATTCATATAGAACAGATGGACTTCCAAAAAGGAAAAATGAAAGAAAACACCATATTTATTATCAATCCACTAGAATTTATCAACATTAAGAAAAAGAGGGCAGAAGTATTGTTATAAGGTTTGAAAGAAATCTTTGAAAATTTAGAAAGTACATTCTTATTAATGTTCTTAAACAACATGAATCCCTGAGTCTTGGCCAACAAAGTCTAAACAAATAAGAAATGATTTCAATTAAAATTCAAGGAGAGAAATATAAGGAGAAAGCTATACAGGCAGCACAGTATTAACAATTATGAAACCAAAATCAATGTTCAATTAAAATAATTTTGTAAAAAAAGAAACTGGATGAGAGATTTTTAAAAAGACTGAAATATTTAGACTTGTCAGGATGCAATAAACACATATTTCAGAAACAGACTAAAAGTTCAAGAAGAATGGTTGATTGAAGGACAGAATATTTACAAATGACCAGAAAAAAACACAAGATTTTAAAGAAGAAGGAACCCTGAGAAAAATGACTGAATTTGAAAAAAACTTACACAGAATCAAGATAATTGTTTAGGATATATTTACAAATGGTTACCTAAATCTTATTTAAAGCTTAATATTATTTTTTTTTAAAAAAGTAACAGTGTAGGATACAACAAATGCAAATTTTCAAAGATGCAATAAGAGTGAAACAATGAAACACTCTCTGGAAAAAAGATCAATAACATTTACACCAAGTTCCAATTTGAGGGATGGTATATAATTCTGTTACATTTCCAAGATTAATAAATCATACCATAATACATGCCAGAAAAAAGAATGATTGTGAATCAATCTTTAAAGTTCAGAAGGAATTCTGTAAAAATCAGTTACCCATTACAGTTATTTATTTAGTCATTTGACATTATACCAGTTACTCATATATCTTAATGTGCTTTTGTCATAGAATAATATATTTTCATTTTATCCACCTTTGAGGTAGCATTCTATATACAATAATATCTCACTTTATTTTATATGTAACATTTGGCTATTGTATTATCTAAA